ATGCACTTATAGAAATAAAAATAAAAAATTATTTTACATTAGTTTTTAGGCGCACGTGGCTGTCTAATACGGATAAGTAATGTGTGGTGAATAATTGAGTCTGATTGGCACCATATCGCTTATTTAATACATTTTAGGTCAAGTTATGTTAGGTTGAAGCGGCCATCCGAGGATAAACTTAGGCGAATTAGGCCCGTTGTGATGCCGCAGCATCTCCATATCCCCACCCTCACGTGAATCAGCCCGAGTCCTTTATAAATCGGTTTAAGTCCCTGGCATTTACATTCGCCAGGTTCGCAATTCGCAGACAGAAGTCCGACCCAAGAAACCTCCGCCTTCCCCGTGCCAAAGCCGGGCACGAGCACAGAAAATTAGCCACCGTTTCTTTCTCTCCCTCGACAGAGCAGCCCTTGCAGAGATCGTTAGCGAGGCGTCGCATCCTTCTAGCGTGTTCGCCAATCAGACAGTGCCGAGTTATAACTCCTATTGCAGCGCCAATGTCACACCGAGCGAAGGACAACAGATTCGCCGTTCGACGCAGGTCCAGCCTAGCCCAAGACAGCCTGGTCGCTTGGCACGTCGCCCCTTCCTCCCAGCGCCCATTGGCGTACTCTATTGCCGCATTGCGTAGTAACAGCTTGCGCGTACTCAGAAGCATTCCCAAGCCCTCCTTTTCAGGTAGGACCCCAAGAGGAGTTCCATGCGTCGGGAGTTCATCCGCCCTGTAATTACCTTGTTAAATTGAGAAATACTTGTAGAATTAACCGTCCTCTGGACCCTGCCTGCCATTCGCGAGTTGATAGGCCTGCCCAGCGTAGGCCACCACACCAGAACACCGTACATTAGAACAGATCTTACCACTGCGGTGTAGCGCCAGTGAACCATGCGTGGTTCAAAGCCCCACCTCTTCCCAATGGCTCTCTTACACAAGTAAAGCGCAGTAGCTGCCTTCCTTACTCCCTCCCTGATATTGGGACCCCAGACTAACTCAGAGTTCTAAGATCAATCCTAAGAATCTAGTCTTAGAGGAGAAAGAGAGCCCAGTTCCATTAAGTTTTGGCGGAAACACACTCACTATTTTGTATTTACTGCTGAATATGACCAGTACCATCTTACGAGGTTTCACTTTCAATCGACCGCAAGCGGCCCATTCAGAGACGAAAGTAAAAGCTCTCTGAATCAACCCATTTAAGGCGTGTAAGTGCAGTTAATAGTTAATAAATATTTGGGAATAGAATAATTGTTACATCAGTGCATATTTTTATAGCATTTTTATGTCACAATATTGAATAAATATTGTCATATTTCATAAATTTACTTTAAATTAGTGCGAAGTGTGATGATGTAGTATCGGTTTAACTACTTTAAATTTTTGAAAGATAAATAAGTGCGAAGTTCGTTGAGATTCGGACACACCAGATAATATTCGGAAAAAAAAAATAGTGCGATAAACACGATTTTAGTGCAAAGTGCGATGCTTTCGGAAACAGCTTGAATCTCTTCTTTAACCCTTGTTTCATAAATTTTTTTTGCAATACCAATGATTACTACTCGTATTGATGTTCAACACAGAAAGTTTCGACATCTTACCATATAATATTAGTGCTAGTTTTTCTGCTTTCATTAATATTAAGCTAATGTTCCTTCTCCATTTCTGTTCCATCTTTATCACGTTCCATTTAAATGAAATTTCTATTATAATAATTGTTATCCTATTCACTCAAATCACTAACAGCAACTATTCACTCAAATCTGTTAGAAAACGTTAATTATTAAGTATTTATTATATTCAATTAAAAATATTTTGCACATTAATTACATGACAATATTTACTGCCACGATATTATTTATCCAAAATATATGTTATAAAAGACAATATTAAATACTGTAATAAAGTTGATTAAAATATTTTGTCATCCATATTTAATTACAAATAAATTGAAACTAATTAATTTTCTATAAATATATTATGGTAAATTAATTTGATTTTGGTCAGTTATAGAACTGACAATACAGAGTATATAGAAAGATTTTTATTGACCTACGGCAACTAAAATTGCAGTAAATATTTCTAATTGTTGTAAAAGCAGAAATCATTGAACTACTGCCAATTAATAAGAATTTAATCAAACAATAATAATTAAAATATTTTTGTTACAATTTAATTATTTTTTGTTATTTTTATTAAGTTTAATAATAATTTTCATTATAATTATAAGTACTGTATACATTTTTTCTAATTTACTTAAACTACTTCATTATTCTTATTATATATAATTACTATTAATAATACTTAATAAAAATTTAATACAATATTAATTAATAACATTATAAATGCATTAAACAATAAAAGTTTTAATTGTTATATTTATAAGATTTTAATTTACTTATACAAGTATATAATTTATATTAATTAAGATTTTTGTAATAAAATTTATTTGTACTAAAAATAAAAAAATTTTTATCCTTATAACAATTATGTTGTTAAATTTATTGCATGCTAGAATTCAATTACCATTCAGTGTATAAATATTCATGTATAATGTATGTAGAGGACAATGTAAGATAAGTTGGATAGTAATAAGAGCTATACCAACTCTACAATAACTGAATTATAAATAAATGCGGAACTTTTATGAAAATCATTATAATTATCTAATTTAATTTAATTTGACAACATTTTTTGCTAGTTTGGCAAGTTATTTTAAAAACAGTACTTATTAATTTGGTAACAGTGCCCTTACTAGTTTGGCAACAATAGTTTCTAATTTGGCAACTGTCTGCTTACTTGTTTGGCAAAAATACTTTTTAGCTTTATATAGTCCCTAAAATCGACCACATTATTGTGCTTTTGCTCGTACATAAAAATTAAGTCAAGCACACACCCTGACTGAATGTTAGTTGAATTCTTTGTTCTTCAAAATCATTAAGTTCCAATTAAAATTCAATTTTTGAAATGAAAAGATATTTTAAGAAAAATGGTTTGGTATTTATTTAAAAATATTGTACTTATTAATTTAATTATAATTTGAATAAAAAAACAATTGCATCTAATTATATACATTTGATCTAAATCTAGAATTTTAAAGGAGAAATCGTTGAAATATGTAAATAAAATCGAAAAATTTGTAATGTGACATTGGAATTATAGAAGCCTAATACCTACATACAGGATTGCAATTTCGGAATTCAGGAATAATATTGGCTACTAGCTAAATTTATGTAGTGGTGTAAAATGGTATGGTGGGCGTATTATTGCAATCCCAACGTTAGGTTTAATTTTAAATCAGCAAACTTTAAAGCAAAGTTATCGAAATACTTTCTTAATTTCATTAAAATTAATTTCTTCAATTCGATACTATCATCGTTACCATAGAGCTCTGAATTCAATTTTACAATTAATTTCCTTTAAATTTATTTGGAATTATTTCAAATATTTTAAATCACTGATTAAATCAAACAAAATCTAATAATAAAAATGATTTATAATTTTGTTTTTTTAAATTTGTAAACAATAATAATAATATTTATCGGTTATAATTAAATTTAAATAAATCCTTTAGAGAATTTTTATCTTTCAATCATTTCAAAATAATTTTTTTTTCTATCATCTACTATAGCTAATGGAATGTTAAATTAATTTAACACAAAATTTACAAGAAAAAATTAAAAATTGTAAATATTTAAAACATTTTAGATGATTGAAATTCATAATTAGATTTTTCATATTTTTTCTGTTTAAGTTATTCAGTGTATGATATGCCAATTTGCAGAAATGTCCCAAACAAACTGGGTGTTTCTAATTGAAGGGCAGGTCACTAATTCATACTTAGTATAGAATTCAGAATAGATTTTTGTCCTCAGAACCAGTAAGGGTATGAGCCAGAAATAAATTACGATACTGTCGTTTCGTTACAAAGTGCCTATAATATAACAGTTTTTTTGGATACGAACGGCGTCTATATCAAGCATTTTAAAAATTAATAATCCAAATTTTTCTAATTAAAAAAGTTGGTTCTGCATTAACTTAGAGATGCAACTGTTATTACACAACCACATTAGCATTTTCGAGAATTCAGTGTTTGTGCTTTTGAAACATAATTTTTCCAAGCGTCTAATGGGTTAATTTAAAATTGTCTTATTATAATTTAATTGAGATAATTTAAATGAAACTTACAAAAAATTCAATTATCTAAATGGCTTTAAATTCTGTGTTTTTTTCAATATCATTACACTCATAAATTTACAGGAAATTAAATAAAATTTTGAAATATTTTTTTTTTTTTTTTAATTTTAAATAAAATTTTTATGGGCTGATTATTTTTTTCCCTTACACAAATTGAATATAAAAAAAAGTAATTATGATTGGCATGAATTACATTTGAATTATTAATTAAATTTTATGTTCGTACATTTTGAACACAAAAACAAGTACACACATACTATTCTATATTTTTTTAAGCATTTTGTAGAATTAAAAAATGTATGTAAATATATGTAAAAATATTTGTAACTATAGGTTTAGTAATGAAGTAAATTATGATTGGAAATTTTAAGAACATGATTACAAAATTTGAAATTTGCTTGTTGACCAAAGTGAAAACAACTCTGACTCAATTAAAATTAACATCAATTCGGCGGCTGAGTGCTATTTTGATCCATAGGACATGACTTTGGAATCGAGAAAATCGCGTTTGAAGTTTAATAACCCTTTATTTCAAAACTAAACAATGGGATTTCTTAAATTTTTGTTATTAGTTTTATTTTAGTTTTAAGAGTTTGACTATAAAGCATAATTATTATACAGTACAATACTGAACGGTCAATTACATAGTACAAATATAACAGTTTGTCAATTTATAAGTAATTAAAAACAGGGATGAAGGATTAATCATATTGTCAATTAGCGTTTTTAGTATAATTTAAAGATTAAAATCAACAGTAATATTGAGGAGAACATTTTTTTTTTCCCTAATTTCAAGCGAGTCGTTGAATTTTACCGACATCAGCTGATTGTGTTCTAGTTGTCGTTCTTATTGAGCGTCGAGCCTATAACTATGAATTTTCATCAAATAAAGTAAAATTAATTTTTACAATTATTTTTATAAATTTCTTAATTGCAATGAGTTTATATAAAAAAATGGCAAACTTTATATTTCAAATTTAATTTTTTTTTTGTTTTTTAGTTATGGCAGTAATGGTTGTTGTATCAACCTATTTTACAAGTGATATGCACTGCAACCAATCATATACATTTATTATTTTTGTTATTTTATTCTATTTATATACCATTACCAATAAATCTATATTGAAGTATGTACTTACAAATATTTTTTAAATCAATATGAATTTTTCATTTAACAATAACAAAATACTTTTACATTAAAATTATCAATACAAATATTAATGTACATTTAGGTATACTTATATACTTCTAGCAATATGTTTATCGATGAGGATTATTTACAATATTGTCATATTTATGTATTAAAGTTTTTATGCTTGGTAAGACTATCTATATTTAGCACTATTATTACTATTATTATTATTGTTATTGCTATTGCTATCATTATAATATTGTATAATATTATTATTGTTACTGTTCCTATTATTGCTATCATAATATTGCACAATGATTTTAATAGGAATTGTTATTATATCTAGTGTCATAAATATAAATGTTATCGTTATAATAAAAACAATAATAATAGTAACAATAATTGTGCAGATAGTAAAATGATGATAAATATCATTCATTATATTCAGTTCAACAAATAATAATTTATATATATAGAAAAAAAAACATATTCTTAATAATAAATCAGGAACAAACAAATTGGTTGCACTTTCATGTTGCATTGCTGCACGATGTTCACTTTTAATAACATGCACATAAACGCTATCAGAATCTGCAAGAAAAAAAAATAAAGAGAACAAAAGATAGAGGGCGTAAATAATAAAGTAAAAAAAAATTTGCAAAAACAAAACAGAAGAGAACAATAAAAAATTGCAAGTTAAAGAAAATTTATGATATGAGAATTTTATTGTAAAGTTACATAACATTTTTTCCACACACTCACACACACACGCACATAGTAAAACACACAATTTAATATGAGGTTTTCAGTATTTTTTATTTTACATTGAATTGAAATTTTTTTATACTATCATGGCATTAAATTGAGAACACCATATAAAAAAATTTACTTTTAATAGCACCAGTTTTTTAAGTGTACGCATTATTGAAATAATTGAGTTTAAAATTTTCATCACTTAAATAAAAAAGATTCCAATATTTTATATTATATAAAGTACCTTAAAGTAATTTAATTTTAACTGGCAATATTATTAAATTAATAGCAGTCCTGCATTTCGTGTAATTTCGAAAAAAATAACATACAATAGTTAATTAAATAAAATATTTAAGTTGGAATTTATGCTGTTAAAAAGCCCCCAAAATTAACCATACGTCATTCATATAAAATGTTCGTCTTCATGATTCCATATACAGCACCACTTTAAAAATGAGTAAATTTACATAAATAGGAATATTTCCTTTAAAAAGTTCATAAAAATTTTATGTCCATTAATTATGAAAGATTTATACAATTTTGATTTTAAATTTAATAATTAACAACAAGGTTGTAGATCTACTTCAATTAAACAATTAATTGAAGTAGATCTACAACCTTGTTCTCTATTACATGCAATCAGTATAATTACAAGTGCTCAACTTCATCCCGTGGATATGCAATATTTACGGATATACTGTTTTATATAATATGATCAAATAGCTTTTTAAGTTTACAGTTCCATTTAGGTGATTTCCCGTTTCATTTGCATTGCCGCAAAACATCATTCTAGTTTACATTATTTTAACTTAATTGTGAACATTTTCTCAGCTTATAAATGAATGAAGTTTTTGAGTTATAGTCTACTTGAACTGGCGTAAAGACATGATTAAAATTCATTTAGAATTCGATTTTAAACGTAAAATATTGTCTAGGTTTATATATCTTTTATTTTAATTTATATAAATGTTGTTCAAATTTAATTTGACTCATTAATATAGCTTCAATATCAATTAATTCATTTTACATTCCATCATACTCGCATAAGGATGAAATTATTTGAACTTATCCTATTGTTTTATGAATTAAGATAAAGTGTACAATATAAATATTTAGCCAAATCATAAATTCCGTTTGTAGCCCGGAAAATTTGTTTGAAATTCGGAAAATTACGTTGTAAAACATATTGTAAATTTCAAATTAGTAAAATATTTGCTCCGAATATTCGTAAAACATATTGTAAATTTCAAATTAGTAAAATATTTGCTCCGAATATTCGTAATAGAGGAATCGTTAATTACGTTCGTAGCATGTATAAATGCCAAAAGTCTGCGAAAGAAATAATCACACGTAACAGGCAACTTAAAGAGAACGGTCGTAAATAAATCCTGAATAAATTGATATTCCGAAAAATGTTGCTGCCATTGCTGATTCATAATTTCTACGAGTGAAATTTGCGATCATTCCTCTACGTCGTAGTTAGGTTCGTAATTCGTAAAATTCTACGAGTGGAATACATAATAGGGCTGATTATTTTTTTTAGTTTTTTATTATTAAATTAGTGCTTATTCTAAATTATTTACTAAAAAACTGTTAAAATTTATTACACTTAACGTCAAAAGGTCATTAATAATTTGTTTTAATTGTATATAGAGGATTATAGCTTCGGCGTTTTTTTGTTCGTGTGTAGGGGCATAAATCAATCACATTACAAATCCCAGTTGTGAATTTTTTTATTTTGTTTTTTCTGTACCTGCGTATAATTTTAATTTAATTTCCTTGTAGTTTTGCTATTTTTAAATTTTTTTTTTGTCTCTCTCTCTCTATTTTTTGTTTGAATTTATGATCCTTTTGATAATTATTGTTATATAGAATATAATTTTTGCGCAACCCCTTTTTAAAAATCAATTTTTTTTTTTGTATTTTTGTAATTAAATAACAGAAAATTTGTTGTAAAAATTTCTTTCGAACAAAGGTTTTGAGGGTCAGTAAACTCAAATGAGGATAAAAGTTCGACCATTTTGTTGTAAAACCTTTAACTTGTATGTTTTTCTTTTATTTTATTCCATTTTTGTTTTTGTTTTATCTTAATTATTGACCTGGAAAATATTTTTAGAACTTTATGTCAAAGGTTATATGTGTCAATCGAAAACTTTTACCTTAACTTGCAAACTGGAAAAAATTTTTTTTTTATTTTTTTTTTCATGTTTTTTGATGTAAAGGTGAAAAAGTTTGTATAAATGAAAAATTACATTTTATTTTCATGCTTTTGTTTTATCCTTTTTTTTCGAATTTTCCCGGAAAAAGGATAAAATTATCTGATTTTTTTTCACATATTGAAGGATTTTTTGCTGTTATATACATACATACATATAATATGTCATTAGTATATGAAATTATTATGAAATGCATTTTAGGATTTTTGCTAAAGTTTGCCATTTTATACACGGTTTTTAATGGAAAATCAAATCCAATACAAAATTGAAACTGAAAGAGGTGTCAGTAAAAAAACATTAAAAGTATTGAAAGTTTTTTTTACATAGGTGCTTTTTACCTTATAGATGAACCCTATATTTACCTGTTTTGATCACGAAAATTCCATTTTTACTAAAAGGATAACAACACCTTTTTACCTTTAAGCAATCGAAATTTCACATCAAATAAAATGTAATTTTACTGAAAGGAACAAAGAATGGAAAAACTCTTTTAGAACAAACAAAAAATTTAATTAATTACAAAAATATTTTTATTATTCAAACTTTGAATTTTCCTGTAAGTTTTCAGTTCAGTTGTGTATAATTATCTCTTTGTAAAACATCTTTATTACATTGAAACGCATATAAGAGCAATAATAAGGTCTTTATGACTTTTAGAAATTTTCAAATAGAAATTTTTTAACTACTCAAACGTGCCGTAAATGAGGACACCCTTATCCCTTTATTTGCAATTGTTAATAATAAAATTTTTTTTTTAGTTTCTTTTGAATTTTGTATAAGTAATTAATTTGTTTTTAATACAAGATTACCTTAAGAACAATCCAGTGTAATTTTAATATTTGATATCATTGAACAATTTGAGGAAAAGCTATGTGCGATATTCAATGTTCACAATATCTTCAAATGCAATTTAGTTTTCTATTAATTATCTAATAGGGTATATGGTTCATGTATGTATAATTGTGTAAGATGGCTTTAATATTTTAATTAATTTTTGATAGAATCGGAACTAAAAAAATTAAAATACTTTTCAAAGAACTCAATTATAATTACAACTTAATTGAATATTGCACATATAAATATATTAGGTATGAAAAATATCAAGCGAACAGACGAATTACTTATATTAAGGATTAATATTTGTCGCGTAAAACTAAATTTGTACGAAAAATTAACAATGGAGTTTGTAGGAATTAAACCAATGTTTTATAGAACAGTATTGGTTTCTAATATTTCAGATTTTTTTTTTCTTTGTAAACGATATCACACTTTGATAAAAAGCGTTTTATAGAACGGTTAACTTTGATCACAATGTTGTTATATTTTTATTCTTGTTATATAACGTATTATTTTGTAGAAACAAAATTTGTGGCATAGTATATAAATAGTGAAAAAATGGCCTTTTCATTACTTTGGGGGGCAATACACGGACAGCCGAACGGTAAACGAAAGGATGGTGAAACTGTATAATGTTGTTTCACTAGCACTTGTTTTTGAATTTTTGTTTTCAATTTGTATCAATAACAACTTCATAGACCGGCAATCTAAGAGAATCCCATGCACCTGAAACAAGACCATATATTATATACAAAAAGAAAATCTCTTCTGAACGGCCTCGACCATATCGCAATTTACGGTAAGGTACTAAATACTAAAACCCGGGCCTAGGTGCAGAGGACTGGACCGTGCTAAAAGAGATGCCGAGGAAGGAATGAGGCTAACACTTTATGTTGAGCATCAACCGCAGCTTACTCCCAACCTGTGGTGGAGACAATGATGATAGAGATGATAAAAGCGAACCTCCACCAAGTAGGCCAAGGTTTTGGTCAACACGCACTTTCCGCGTGAAGAGCAGCAGATGCGGGACCGAAGGACAATTGCTTAGGATTGGATAGAGACGAGGCCGGTTTTCATACCGAAACCTGTGAAATAAGTGCGCATTTTGAGGCTAAAGATTACAGGTCAATAGGTTTGTCCTCGCCCGCGCTCAAAACTATGGAAAACTTGTTGGAGGCCCAATTTAGAAACGTACTGTCAATCGGGATCTTTCGGGCAATCAACATGCGTACAGGAAAGGAAGGCATGTTGAGACCGCGTTACACGCGGGGGTGCCACAGATAGAATTGACGTTGCAATATAAGGAATATACGTTGACAGCCTTTGGAGCTTTTAACGTTGACATAACGGGAGCTTTTAACAACGTTAATATTGAAGCAATTATGCGGGCACTCACGAGTACCCATGTGAGCGTGGGCGTTGTACACTGGAATAACTGCTGCTGTATAGGACGGTCTCTGCCGCTTGGGGCTCTAGTGAGATTAAGGTAAGGATGACTGCTTACTGATTTTGGATGAATTCCTAAGAACGATGGAAGGTGGCGATTGCAGGGTGACTGCTTACGCGGACGACGTGGCAATGCTGGTCTCTAGAAAGTTTCCAGATGCCATGTTTATGGAGCAGAGCTTAAGGTAATAGAGTGTGTTGGCGAGACGGTTATTTTCACGAGGAGGAGATTGCTGGAGTTCCGGTTGCCACGTTTGGATGGAGTTCGGCTGCGCTTGGCTTGGAGCGCGCTATCTCGGTGTAGTGCTAGATAGCGTTGTGATGGTGTGCCGATCTGGGGAGCTTAAGAGGCTTAAAAAGGTACAGAGATTGTCTTGCATCACGGTGACAGGGACAGGACGACGCCAACCAAGGGTTTCGAGGTCTTACTTGACTTGAATACGGTGAGTGAATGGGTAAAGAATGTGGCTGCTTAGAGTGCTTGAGACTTGATGTGGCCGGTTTTCTGAGGGCTAGGAGCTACACTCATGGTAGAATTTTGGGGGAGTGTGGTGTAGAAGTACGATGAGGACTGGGGTGAAGGGCCCCGATGGGCTGAGAGCTTCTCTGTCTACAGTGATGATTCTAAGACATGCAGGACTACAGTAGCGTATTTCAAGCTTATGTGCTTGCAGTGGTCAGGGCCGCCAAGATGGTGTTGGCGAAAGGTGTATCGGCCGGGCACCATTTACGTGGGTGGCGGTTCCTGCATGGTGGCCTTATGTTGGGTTCCGGGACATAGTGGTGTCGAAGAGAACGAGATTGCTGACGGGTTGGCTAGATCGGAGGCGCCGGTCCACGCTGTCAAGATGCTGACATGATGGAGGATGTGCATCATATTCTGTGTGAGCACTCCGGTCTGATGCGGACGAGGGGGCGTTTTTTGGAGGATATCGGTTCGACGAATTCGGAGGACCTCTTTGAGGTGTCTGAGAGTGATCTGCTGGGCTTTTTCAAGGGACTTCACTGGATTTAGAGGAATCGTGTGTGCTAAAGAAGGACGCCGATGGGCCTTCTGCTGGCCTAGGTGGCAGCGTTGAGACTAGCGCCTCCATTCTCTAAACTGAACTAAACTAATAGGCCCAATGTATGATAAATGAAGACGCTTCCATTCCAACGTATTGCTTTCTAGAAATAATAAGGAACTGCTATCAAATTGTAACATTTCAATACTCAGCAACCACTTTTATTAATATCGAAAAATTTTAAACATAATTAACAATATTTACTAACTTTAACTCTGACATGAACAAAGTTGACTTATATAATCATAAAATCATAAAAAATTGCAATTTGTAGCATACGTTTTGAGCATACTAAATTCTCGTGCGGTAAAAAGTTTAATGTAATTATTTTAAGTTTAAAAATTCATTTTTCAAATTATTTTTCTTCTCTAAATATACAAAAAGCAAAAGGTTGCATAAAATTTGAGTTCCAAATTTTTCACTAAACCTGTTACATACCTACCCAACATAAGGATTAAATATACAAAGGAACGAATTTTCCTTTATAACGTACTTGTATCCTTTATACTTGTATGAACATTTTTGTTTCAAAATTTTTTCGTTTTCATTTTAAATAATTTTTCTTTAAAATAACAGCTTTTTGTTTTGTTTCTTCAACAAAAATAAGTAATAAAATTTTGTACTGTACAGCAAAAAAAAAACAAGAACAAAATAAATAAATAATTTACAGTAAATGGTTTCAATCAATTTTATATTTACCTCATAAATTTGGTTTTTCATTTTTTGAATCAGCGCATTTCAGGATTACAAGGGCATAAACGTCATATAGAAGCAAAAAAAAAATTTGTACAAAATTTCCGATACCCATTGCTATGTATGTACATATATAACTATTTCTTTTTTTAGTCCAGGATATGCAAAAAAGCAAAAAAAATCGGATTTATTTTTGTCAGCTAAAAAACTTTTCTGCCGCATACATAATATTTCTATGTACACTCGTTCAACAAATTGTTAGTCATGAAAAACAAAAATTCTGTAACAAAATTTATTTGAGAATTAGTGAGAAAAAATAAAAAGGTTTGCCAATCGTTGCAAAAAATTTTATGATATTAAATGGAAATTTCAGAATTTTGGTAGAGAGTAGCTTTTTTACTTAAAAATTAGGTCCGTTTGAAATTGCTAATAAATTAGGAAAGTGTATGGATTGGGAGAACGTAATAATACACTGCGATTTACAATACTTGCACTACGTTGTCACATGTCGGTGATCAGATCAGGCGGACTTAATGCAGTTTCCAGAGGCTCCTAGTGAACTCGTCCTTTAATTAACATTATTTTTAATTCTCACTTTAAGCCATTGAAAATATTTTGCTAAATTTAGTATCCTAATTCTAAATTTTTTTCAAAAAAATTGAAATATGAACTTTTTCAAAGGAAATATCGAAGAAACTTAACATAAAATGAAAAATTGCACGTTCGTGAATGCATACATGGATGGAAAACTTTTATTGAGTGTATTTACTTTTTACTTTTGTAAATAAAAATATTGAACAAACTTTTCAAGAGCCTACTTTTTTTCGAGCAAAATATTTAAAGGAAATAGTTCTTTATAAACACAAGAAGACAAATAAAGTTTAAAGCGATTATTTTAAAAAAGTTTTACAAAAAATACACAAGAAGAAAAAAGTTGCAATTTAAATAAGGAGTAAAAGAAAAACTAAAATTAAAAAAAAAATTCAATAAAATTTCAATCGTTTCATCCGATATAAATTTATTATTCATCACGAAATTTCACAAATAAAATTCAAACTTTATTAAAGAAATTTAAATTTATGCTCGTAAAACACACAACACTGTGTATACAAAATACTCATACATACTTCCGCGAAATACACACTCACAAAATGTTATAAAAATTCTATAATTTTTGTTTTCTATCATTTTTTTTTAATTTTATTATCTAAAAACTTACTTGCATTACTAGGACTGCATGTATAATTCCCTGAATCAGATGGCACCACTTTAGCAATTATCAATCGACTCTGTTTTATTATATGTTCTGTTAAGACATTAATACCACCACGTTGTGAATAATTTATTAAACCACCATCTTTATACCAATAAATGTATGATGGTGGTCCTGGTGCTTGTTGTGCTATACATGTTAAATTAATATCACTTCCACTTTTAAAGAATAATTCAGAATTTGCTAATATTTTTGCTTTGGAAACTGAAAGATAAAGAAACAAAGAAAAAAATATATTTATTTTACTTTAATTTTGCTTTATATAAAAATTTTATGAATTACATCAAAAAGGGATATTAGAGTTTCGTGTTCAATATTAAAATTTTTAAAATTATCAATTCAAAATTCACTATACAACAGACCAAATGTCTAATTTTTAAGTTGGAACTCATATGGCATTTGTTTTATCATTTCAATTATATTTGGCTTTTCTAATTTGCTCGGTTTTTGCATTCACAATTATATGAACATCAAAGATTGCCTTTTTATGTTAACATCGTGAACCATTTTTGGGATTTATTATTTTAAATATAAATTTTCAAATTTAAACTCGACATTGTGCATATTTTAGGAAACAGCAAACACATAAGACCAAACTTATTATGATTATTAAAACAGACTTATTTTAGCACCACGAACAAAAATCACCCATCCAGAGTAGTCATTCTTTAAATACAAGAAAATATAGAAATTTAAATTGAATTTAATCTAGAAAATTCTATAACATTTAAAATATTGTATTGTAGGTAAAATAGTAAAAATTGCTACTAAAGCAAATAATTCAAAGTGCTAATATACGTTCCTAGAATATTATTTAATCAATAACCTGGTTTTTATTGTTTTAAAAACCTTAATTTTTATGGAACCAATAAATTAAGACGAAAAACTATGCTCGTAATCTTATTGCAAATAGCCTGTCTTTATACCCAAAATGAAATATTTAATTTTTATTGCCAAAACCATCATGGTTCTACAATAAAGATTTATGGGTACGTTAATCAACAGTTAAATTTCTCAATGCCTAATTTTGCCTACACTATCATTTTCCAATTGCAATTTCTTTTCTATCTTCTATTTTTAATAAGAAATTTAAAGCGCATAAAAATCTCTTTTTGTTATTTTGCAAACTTTTTCTTTTTTTTGGAGAAAATATTTTACGAATTTCACAAAATTAAACGTTTATGTATTTAAAAACAAAAGGGCGGCAGTAATTTGTATAAGAATAATATAAAAATTATCTTAAAAATAAAAAATCGTATTTTTTCGGGATGTAAAGAAAATAACTGTTAAAACGAAAATAAGTAATGAAAGATTATTTTCAAAATGATCTCTCCCTGCCTTCTTCTACTTACAAAATTCATTTATAGAATTGCCTACAAAAAAATTTTATATAGGCAAAACGGTATCTTTATAGTTTGAAATAAAAGAGGGAGAAAGAACAACAAAAACAAAAATATACCACAGTTTATCTTTACGGTTAACAGTTATTTTTTATATTTTTTACAATTCTATCATTTATTTTTTCTTGTGGGTTTTAACTTGTGCGTTCCAAATTCTTTTTCTATTGGGTTTTTTTTTTGGGTTCTCAGAATTTGTTTATACATACATAATATAACAAGTAGCACTATATTCGTTCATAATGTTCCTGATAAAAATAATGAAATTTCAAAATACTTGAAATAGATATTTTTAGCGACCAAGCCGTCACTCACGTTCCTTACACAGGTTCAATACTCTGTAGTGTAATAACGTAAAAATTCCCTTATATTTCTTTTGTATATTAAAAATTTTATTTAAATGACAGTTTTATACCTTTATACTCGTAGTATGAAACAAGTATAGAGCCTTGAAGCAATCGTTCGAAGTTTCTCTCTCTCGCCAGAATAAGTTACTCTTGGGCAACTATAAATGCAGGCGAAACAAGGAAATAGTTAAGGCAGTTGATAAGTCGTGAGAAAAAAGTAAGGAGAACCCTAACAGGTGTTTTATTGTTTTTAAATTAGAAATTTAAGAGGTGCCTATTTTCCGATTCAAGAGGTCTTTGATAAAGCTGAAAAATATATGATAATAATTTTCCATCTTTAATTAGAGTACACTATGCGAGAGAAAATGATGGGCGGAATCATAGCCTAACTATGACAGTAAATTTTACGTTTTATTTAAGTCTAAAATTTCGTATTCTCTATTGTAGTTTGTGATAACGTTATTATTGTTTTTGATATGTTATTCAATGGATTTTCGCGAAATAAAATAAAATTTGTCAAAAAATAACAAAAACAAGAAGTGAAAATAGAAGAAAAAAAAAACTAAAATGTCTTTATTTTTAGAGGCCAATGATATGCAAAATGTCATGAAATAGTGGTTTCATTTTGTTTGTGTTGTTCAATTATTTTTTACTGTTAGATTTTTATATTCGTTTTAGCTTACTGCCTTTTCTATCTTATTCCCTATCTCATATTGATATTTTTATTTTATTCTTGTATTGTTTTCAAAATAAAATTTTAGAAGAAACAAAATACTATAGCTACTCTTTTTTGCGCGTATTTATTGCCGACCGCATTGCATACAATAAGAGAGATTTAGTGATGGGACACAATTTCGGATACCGAGTTTTCGGTGGAAACGTACTTCTTTATGGTAGGGAAGCTTAAATGAACTATTTTTAGAGAGATGTCAGCCTTTGTGAACAACACACAGACTTTGAGTGTTTTTGCAGGCCGATTTTATATATTTGCGCATATGAAGAGCAATAATCAACCGATTTCCTTGAAATTTAATATTTAAATTAGGGGCACGTAAACGTTGAAACTACCAAATTTTTTGGAGAGATCAGGCCTCGGGAAATAATAATTGATGGAATTTCTTGAAATTTAATATTTGAGTTGTTGTTGGTACCGAAACTAAATGGCGAACTTTTCAATTAATTCGGATGGTACAAAATGAAGCTCTACTAAGAGCCATTTTACTTTTGATCACTGACAGGTGACAGTTTACGTTTGACATTTGGCAGGTGCGGATTGACAGTTGATATTTGCCTGGTAACTTTTGACAATTGACAGTTGTCGGCTAATAGCTGATATTTGGCTCGTTTTGTCTTTTGACAGTTGACAGTTGACATTAACGATCAATAACTGTCGTTCTGTTAAATTAAATCGAATGGCACAAAACGACTCTTTACTCTAGAAATTTACATTTTTCGAGGAATGTCAGCCAAGAGCATCCTAGAGTCCTCAAAATTGTAAAGAAATGTTTTAAACGCATTTTCATAATTTTCTGTAACTCTTTCACTAAACTAGGCACTATACATTGTTGTCGGTTATATGCTGATCACATCAGATTGTTCTTATATTAGTTATCATTTATGTATAGGTTGATTATCATTAAAATACATTTGAAAACATCGATATTTTACACGCAGGCATATCTAAGGACGTCGATGTCCAAATTTTAAATATAAGGTGTTTTTATTTTTTAATTTCAAATCAAATCGAAACGGTTAATAAAAAAACTGTATGACGGTGGAAAATACAAAATAGTTTCTACAAATTTTTGAAATTTTTTAAATAACATTAAAATTAGACGAGGGTCTACGAAGGCAATAAGAGAAGAATAACTGCGGTATTCAGCAGAAAACCATTCCATCTCTCAGAAATCTGTAATTTCCAATTTATAGAAGATATTAGGAGTGTTGCCTTTAATTTAACACTAAGCTTTATTATGCTTTTCAAAATAACATTATTTTTCTTCTCTAATTAAAATCTTAAAACAATGAATAATTGTTCTAAGAACAAAAAACCCCTTTGAACTTTTATAAAAATTCTTAGTAAAATTTTAACTTTAAATCAACCTGTAAATGTCATAACTGTAAATGTATACAATTTTTTAAATTTTAGAAAATTATTATTCACTGAAATAAAATAAAATAAAAAAAAACAAAAGAAAGAATAAGAACAAACAACGACAATAGAATAAACGACAAAAATGAGTCAAGTAAAACGTAGTCAAGATAATTTGGCGCAGAAGAAATAAAAAAAAATTTTTTTTTTGTTTTTGAGGGAGGATAGGGGAGAAATCATAATAATAACAGTAAAAATAATAATAAAATGAAGAGAAAATCCATCTGAATTATAAACTTCGTTGATATTTTCCTCTAATGTCAGTTATTTTTCTCTATTACTTTTGTTTTTGTGCTTCGTTTATTACTACAGTCTTTTTTTTATGATATTATGAGTGAGGGTTGTTTACCTATTAAATTTTCACGCAAACTTAACAATGGAAGACAAAATAAAAAAAAAATAAGAAATACTCCTATAATAGAAAACATATTTGAAGAAATAATCGGCGATTTCGGAGAGCACAATTCCCGATAAAATTCATAGGAAAAAAAAGTCTTAGAAAAATATGAATTTGAAAGAAATTACTTTGCTGTAAAAGAGCTAGTTCTGAGACATCTCAACAATTTTAACACTATTTTAAGCTCACTTAAGGGAAATTCTCCGAATTCTATTCTAAAAATAGATTTTTCGGTCAAATGCAATTTAATTCACTTTGACTTACTTTGCCAATTACTAAATGATCACAAATATATTATTGCATTTTCGGCAGAATTCTTAAAATCTTAAATTTGCCCCCAAATATACCTTCAATTATTAATGAAATTTGAACACATTATTTTCAAAATCTTAAAGGATTGCAAGCCGATTGGTTTGCATCCTTTAAAAAAGCGAATTTTTACATAATCCTTTCAAAATTCGAGTAATTCCAAAACTTAATCAACAGTCAAAAAAGAAAAACAAAAAAAGATTCAAATAATATAACAAAAAAACAGGCCCATTAAAGATAAAATGAAACCGTTTGCGAATCTATTTGAAAATTAGGGAGCAAAAATAAAAATCATAAAAATAAAAATGTTTTTTTTTTTTCCATTCTAACCTATTTTTTTTGTTAAAGGGAAAAAAATTTTTACAATCACTTTTAACCTAAATCTAAAAATTGTTCTAAAGACCTTATAGGAAAAATAACAAAAACAAAAAAAAAAAAGACAAAAAAAAATATGGAGTTCCTGCTCTTTTTCCATTGTTTTTTTTTTGTTGTTGTTTCATCTACTTTTTTTTTCGGTGAATTTATGTTGCGGTCAATTAAATTGTATTTGTTTTTAACGGTAAATATTACAAAAGAGTGCCTTAATTTTAAATTTTAAAAAA